AGCGCAGCCGGCTTGCCGGCCAGGAGAATGAGATCCTCTATCTGGAGCAACTGGTGCGGAGGAACGAGACGGAGCTGGGTGAGGAGGAGTTTTGGCAGAGTGAGCTCCGGCTGGAAAAGGAGTGTGAGCGGGAGCGGCAGGAGCGGGTTAGGAGCCTGCGGGCCAGCCTGGAGGAGTACACCCAGAGGATCTATGAGCTGAGTGTCCGGACTGAAGCCCTGCAGGAGGAGATCCAATGGGAGATGGCCGAGAGGGCCAAGAGGGGGAAGGAGATCTCTATGCCCAGCCCCATAGAGCTGGAGGACATGGCCACCAAAATGAAAAGGGACCTGGAAGCCAAGGTCAAGCAAGGCACCCAGCTGGAGAGCAACCTGGCCAGCGTGGAGAAGGCCCTGGAGGAAGCTGAAAAGAACCTGCAGGTAGGTAGGACTGGGTTGAGCCACCCCAAGGGGTGGTAAGAACTTTAGGAGGGAGTAGAACCAGCTTTCCAAACACATTAGACCAATGGGTTGAGTGGGGTTGGTTACTCTACTTGCCCAGTAAACTTGGGGCTGGGTACACAGCTCTCAGCAGCAGTGATCACTGACAGGGGTACACCATCACTCTTGCCCCACTGGCACAGGGTCCCACACCCATTGCTCTCCGCACAAGCTATGTCTGGGCTAATGCTTCTTCTAACTGGTGCACCCGGAGTACATGATCACCCTGCTACAGCACAGGCAGTGGTGCTGGAGCACATGGTCTACAGGTGTGGTTGGTGGCATTGCTACAAGGGTTGATGTCTTGGATAAAGGAGTCACAAAGGGGATAGCACAGGTCCCCATGGTGCCTGTACACAAAGTCTTTTGACCATGCAGGGCTCACGGTGGGGGGCTATGGAATATGGAAATGGGAATGAGCTGTGATGTCCCCCCAGATCGCCTGTTGCAGCCTCCCAGCATCAGCGGTCAAGGGGCTCCGTAATTCCCACCTTCCACCCACCGTGTCCCCTTTGGTGGAGCAAAACAAGGAAGCTTTTATCCAGCCAGGCCTTCCCCAGGCTGTCCGTGCTTTCAGCATCTTTCCTTGAGCATCTCATTTGCGTTTGGCATCTCCCAGCACGGCGGCAGCCGCCGTTTGATGGCTGCTCGCACCCTCTTGTGGAGATGCAGCAAAGCAGGACTCTTCCCAAACCAACGCCTTCTTCGTCCCCGTTGCCTGGGCACCTCCCTTCCTGCAGGCCCTCAGAGAGGGGCGGCTGAGCCACGGTACCCCCGAGGTCCCCTCTGCTGGCACCGGCAGGGTGAGCCCCAGCCAGGGCGTAGCCCCAGGGGATGATTGCCAGCTGGCTTGGGGCACGGGGGGAACATGCGGCTCACCCTGTCCCCCCCTCGGTGTGTGTTTTGCAGGCCCAGACCCAAGAGCTGGAGGAGTTAAATAAGGAGCTGAGGCAGTGTAATTTGCAGCAGTTTATTCAGCAGACGGGGGCCACGGTGACCGTCCTGCAGGCCAGGTCCGAGGAGGACGCCCAGCCGGAGCCGAGCCCGTGCGAGCTGCCAGCCTACCGGAGAAACGGAGGTCAGCACGCTGCCGCTGGCTCGGCCGCGGGGGCTGCTCCGCGGGACCCCCGCCCGCTCCCTGCCTCCTTCTCCCAGGGGCCAGCCCCAAAGCTGACCAGCTCTCCCCTGGCCACTGAGGTTAGGCAGGTGGGGGTTTGTGTGCTGGCATGGCAGTCACTCACCACTCCAGGGGGTTTCAGAGATTCGTCAGCCCTGGGGCTCCTTCGTCCTCCCCATTGAAGCCTGGGGGCTGCTCGTAGACACGCACAGGAGTCGGATCCTGCATTGCTGCTTTTGGGGCTGAGGTGGCTGCAGGGAGCTTTCCTTCGCAGCCTTGCTCATATCACAGCTGCAGCAAAAGGCTGCAGGCTGCAGCAGGTGGCTGAAGGCCAGCGTCAGTCCCCAGGGACCATGGGCTGGTGGGGCCATGCTCTGGCCGCAAATGACCTTTCTGTGTTTGGCGAGGGAAGGGTGGTGCCCAGGGCCTCGTCTGCATCCTCACAGCCATGAGAGGCAGCAGCAGGGGGTTCTCATGGAAAGGGACCTGGTTGTTTCTCCTCCGGAGCACCCAGAACGGGTGACGTGACTGCCCAGAGGCACTGCAGCGGCCGTGCCCAGTGAGCATGGGAGGCTCAAGCCCTGCCTGAGGCTGATGTTTTTCCCCATCCTGTAGGTTTTTCTCCCACCGCTGGTATCGACTCACCTCCCCAGGTCAGCGCCAAGCAGCTCCTCGGCCATCCCAGAACCCTGGCGGAGCCCCTGGTGTCCAGCCTGAACCCCGAGGGTGCGTATGTCCCACTGGGGCCTTGGGAGCATGAGCTGGTCTGCAGAGGATGGGTGGGGAGAGGGGAGAGGCTTTTGCTGCCCAAAATGGGCTGCAGAGAGCAAGCGTGTGCTGGTGGTGGGAAGCCAGAGCTATTTATAGATGCCATTAGGAAGCGCAAAGCTCACACCCCGGCAGTCTCTGTGCTGCTGCCAGGGGCTCTCACGCTGGCAGCTCGGATCTCTGCCCTGCCAGGAGCTGTGGAGGATGATGCTTATCCCCTCTCCTGCCACTCTGTATCCCCCAAGGTTAAAACCTTGCTCAGTTAGGATGGGGAGAACTTGTCTCCTGTCTTTTACAGGAGCTACTTTTGCTCCATCCTAGTGACCAGTTCATCCCAAAACCCTTTCTACCTCCCACAACTCTTTTGTCACCTTGTATCTTGTGTATTTGTGTTTTGGGTGTAGCAAAAGAGAGCTGTGGTAGGGACACCTACCTGCTGTGGTGATGCTGCCTCCACCCTGGCATCCTACTCCCACCCATGCCACCTTTTCCTCAGCAAAACCCTACTGCCACTCCCACCCATGCCACCTTTTCCTCAGCAAAACCCTACTGCCATCCTCCCCACAGCCCCTTACACCCACCCCCATCCTTCAGGACACTGCGGCGACCGCATTCCCATCTCCCAGTCCAGGCTTTGTGCTCACGTACATCCTGTTTTCCGCTCCCCTTCCTGCAAGTGCTCATCCACCACAGTGGGATTGCTCAGGTGTTTTTTTCTCTTGTCTTGCAGTTGTATCAACCAGGCAGAGCATCTGGAGGTAGAAGGGCCCAGGCACTGGAGGATCAATTGTATTGTATCAATTGATTGAGGATCAAAGTGTAACTGTATAAATAAACTATATATATATATATTTTATATTTTTTTTTTACTGCTTTATATTGTGAATGGATGTGGATGGCCAGACAGAATATTTTTACAGACTGTAAAGTAAAACTAGAGACTGATAACACAAAGCAACCCTCTTCCCCTGAGGATGAAAGCAACTCCCTTCCATTTTTTTTTAAGCAGTTTCTATATTGAACAGAAAACAGCAGTGCATCCATTCTGCATAGCCTCTTCAAGAGATCAATCATGTGTTTGGAAAAGCCCTTGTTCCTTTGACTAGGGGAGCGAAGCTGCAGTGGAGACCTGCGTGGAGGTTCACCTGGATGGAGCAAGTTAACAGATTTTACATCTACTCATCACAGCAAATGGGGCCATGACAAACAGCCTCTTTGCCAGCGGCACGAGAGGCCCAAAAGCAGCTTTAAGACAAATTTCTGGGCCCCTCTTTTTTTATGTATATTATAAGAAACCTGTAGAAGAAACCCACTGTCCATGGTGCCACAGACCATGTGTCAAGGAAGCACACAGTGGGAGCTTGTTTTTCTTAAATTCATTTTATCTTTCAACTTCTTTTTAAAGTAAAAAATTGCAGAATGAGCCCTTCCCCGGTGGTGGTGTGAGTGGGAACAGGGCCAAAATACTCTTGGTGACATTTCCCTGATATTTTTAATTTTTCTTTTTTTTAACTTGATGGCCAGTAGTTACCATTTTGTTCATCTGTCCCGGTGCATCACCTTGTATTTTAATTGCAAAACCAAAGCAGTTTGGGGAGGGGACGAGCTTGTCTGGGAGATCCCCGAGCTTGTTTTCAATGTGTCGTATGCGAAAAATGTGACTTGGGCACAAGGTTCACCGTAAAGCCCCGCTTCCCCTGTGCGAATGTAAATCCTGTGCGCCGCAGATCCAATTTTCAATAAATCTTTGGGAAAGGATTTGAGCAAAGCGAGCGTGAGTGTGCTGTTGTGGCCAGGGTGAGCCGTCCCTGCTGGTGCCTGCTTTGGTGCCTGATGGATACATCCGAGCGGTTTGCGCACCCTGCAGCTGCCTCTTCCATTTCCAAGCCATCTCTTTCTATTTGCCGAATTAAAGCTGTGAGTATTTTATAACCGACTGAATCTTAGGCACGCAGTGCCCTTCTCTGCTTTTTTTTCTATTTTTCTTTTTTTTTTTTTTAAATTATGAAGTGCTTTACAACCAGGGGATGCAGCTTGTCTCCAGTGAGATGTGGCCATCTCTGAGATGAAACATGGCAACATTTTAATAATGCACAGCAGCAGCTCGGAGCATTTTAGGACAGGAGGCAAAGGGAGTGGCGCTCGGCTGCAGACAGGAGCAGGTAAGGGGAAATTTCCCATTTGCCTCCAAGCCCCTTTGGCTGCACCTGGATAACAGCAGCCAGGAATGTCAGCTCCTGCTGTCCATCACCATCTCCCCTGAGCTTCTGCTGGGCTCTGGTCCCTGGGGACATCTTCCCCTCTCAAAGCTGATTCTCAAGGTGCCACCCCAGCCCAGCAGGCTGATAAGTAAAGGATTAAAGTTTGCTTTGCTGGGAGATCCACAGGTACTGCTGTGTCTTAGGTTAAGACTGGAGGGCTGCTGCAGTGGGGAGACGCATTTTTAAAGTTGCCTTTTTTGAATTGGGACATTTGGGATTTTTTTGGGCGGGTTGTTTTTCAAGCTCCTCCTCACCCTCCTCCTTAAATCGTGTATCTCAAGGAAAATTAATTTTAAATATGTCTGTTCCATGCAGTTGCAGTTAGTTTCTCCCATGCTTGTTTGCTTTTTTGGGCTTTGTGTGCTTTTTTTTTTGTTTTTTTTTGGACTCTTGCTTTTAAAGATTCTGCCTTGCTAAGAAGTGGGTGATGGACATTGTAAAGAGCATTTCTGTGCTGCCTGGAAGGAGGGAAAGCAGGTTTAGAAAACCCACTTGCCTTGGATGTTGCTGGATTTCAATGTGCTATGGGACATCCTCCTTCTACATAACCTAAAAAAATGACCTCTGCAGGTTTAAAACTGGATCTTTCATTTTTGGGGCTACATTTGTAGCCTTGCCTTCTGCAAAATAAACAGGAATAAAGAGAACAGGGTCATCACTTATGGTACTTCCAAATGGGGGCAGAAAAGTACTTTGAATGTCTGTGGGGGATTTTTTCCCCCTCTGTTACAATTGTATATTATTTATTGGTTTTGCGGGTTCAGTCATAATCATAACAGGCCAAAACAGCACTAGTCTTTCCTGGAGGGAGGTGTGGGAGGGTGTGGAAAATAAGGATTTAAAATATTATGTATGACAGCAGATTTTGGCTCTTCAGCTGATGCCCCTTGGCTGGCATGCAGGGTTTGGAACTGTTCCATGGGTGGAAAACAGAGTAATTCAACTGTGTCCCCCACTGAGGTCTGATAACCAGGCATGGGGTTAGCGAGAGCACCGTGACCAGGGGCTAACTGCTTTCAGCCCAAGACTGTGGCTCTTTGCAGATTTTCTTCATTTTGTGTCCTACAACCCATCACCCAGCTGCTGCCTTGGCCAGCAGTGTTCCGTGAGGTAATAAATCACTTTGATTAACACCTCTGTCCCCGCTGTGGTGCACGTGAGGGAGAGGTGGTAATCAAACTCATGTGTTACCTCAGGAGCTCCCCAGCCTAGGGTGACCTATATTCCTGCCGGCTCGGGGGGCCTGCGCTGGCCGGGCGAGCGCGCGGGTCCCCGCCGGTTATTTAACGCAGCGAGGCTCGATACCCGCTCCCCCGCCTTCCGGCTTTTATCTGCTCTAAAGTCTGTGTCAATAATACATTTCTGCCATTGAATATTTTATTGATGGTTTGACTTTTTTGCTGCTCGCAATTCCCATTTCAAGGCTGCGTGATTGTTCCTAATTAAAATTTTATGCCCTGGGACAAGCCTTCTTGCTACAGTGGAGATGATGCTGTCCTTTTCTAGGCCACTACGGAGTGGTAGGAGGAAATTACCATTACCCATTGTTATGAGATTAAAACAAAGCAAATAAATTATTGTTTTTTCCCTTAAAAAACAAACCAAAAGCCCAGCGTACTGCGCGTACTGGAGAGGGAACAACTGGCTCACGGGCCAAGGCAGGGATCCAAGTGTGCAGGGTGGCTCGAGGATGCTGTGCCTGGCTGTGCAGGGACTCATGTCCCCATGTCCCTCAGGCACTGTGGGCAGCTTCTTCCTGCCCTGGAGTGGGCAGGAATGGACTTCAGAGCTTCTCTCTCCTCAGATGTTTCTCCTGGCTAGCTCCAGTGTCACCAAAAAATCACAAAGCAAAGGATATATCTGTTTTTCACTGGTGAGCAGCCCCACATTTTTGTTTTTTGTTTTTTTTTTAATAAATCTGCAGGTTCGGTCAACACAAGGCACCATTCAGAAGAGCATTTCAGCCACCTCCAGTCTCCCTGGCACCCTTTTCCTGGCTGCACTACCTGATTTTTTATTTTTTTTTAGGGTTTTTTTTTTTTTTAATATTGCATAAGAAAAATAACCCCCAGCTCCTTGCTCCTCTATTCTGGACTGTCAGCTCCTCACCATCCTTATCAGATGGTGGTCTGGGTGCCAGCACTGCCCTAGGCCAATGCAGTTTCTTCAGGGTAACACTGCTGCAGACACTTGAACCATCCCCAGGTTGCGGTTACGTATTCCTACAAGTTCCTGGGTGTTTGGGTTTGGATTTTTTTTCCCCCTCAATTTCAGCTAGAGTGCTAGAAGCATTTGTGCTGCCTCCCAGCCCCTGGATTTGGCAAGCAGCTTTTAAAGTACACACTTCAGCACCAGTTACATAAGGAAAGGTGTGAATGTCTGGAGGAGAAAATGCCTGTTGGTTTTGCTCCCCAAGTGGTGTACAGATGCTCTGCTGCTTGCTCCTGGCTGCACAGATTCTACTAGCATAGTTCACTGTAGATGAAGAAGAGCTGTTTGAACCGGTGTGTGTGTCCATGCAGGGAGCATTCTCTGCTCTCCTATGATGATTTTTCCTTCTCCATCTCAGAGTGCAGACTGACTGCATTCTACCTTGCCCTGGAAAAAAAACAAAGCATAAAGCACTAGAGGAGGCTGGGAAATTTTCTTGTTTATGGATGAGCAAGTTTCTCTCCCAACGGAACCTCCTGCCAGCAGAAATCTTCCTTTTTTTTTTTTTAGGATGTATTATATAAGTCCCTGCTTGCATTTAACTAACTGACTTCCTCTTAAACAATTCATGTACTCCTATTCCTCATAGGGCAGCTTGCTCCTTTGGTGAGGCTCACCTGACACTGGGACATGTTATGGACAGGACACAACAGGCGCTTCTTAGCGTGGTACTTGAAGGGTAAGGCCTGTTCCCTTCCCTCCATGAAGAGCTGAAACGAGAACAAAATCTTTGAGGAGCACAAAGAGTCCCTTCAGCTCAACAGGCCTGAAATTCAGCATCTTCCCCTCCTCTAAGGCACTCCCCTGCCTCTCACCAAAAATCTCACAGTTCTGAGTGAAAGCACATGACTACTCTTCTAACCAAGCTACGTACCATCTTATAAATCTGTTTATTAGCTACTGAAAAACATGAAATCAAGGGGCATTGCAGCCCTGGGGTATTTTCTCATCGCTCAGGAACACCCTGGTTCTAGGCCCAGATGGAAGGATGATGCTGAGCTTTCTGCTTGAGGGACAACCATGTCACACCCTTCTGCTCTCCTTTTCAAGCCACCTTCACTGGCCACAGAGGTGAGGAAGAGAGAGATGGGAGGAACCAGGAATGCAGTGCAATCAGACACATCACTGAGAAGGCACAGCTTTCCTCTTCACCTGGTCTGTTGCCCTGGACCACAGCAATCAGCACTCAAACACTGGTTTTGCATATTTATTGAAGACTTCAGGTGACAGAGCAGCAGGTTAGTTTTGAATCATGCCACAAGAATGTTAAAAACAGGAATTGAGCTGTAGGCTCCCCCCACTTACTGGAGACACACACAAAAAAGGCAAAACCAAACAAACTTCACTTCAACCCCTTCCTTTTGCTTACTGGAGCTGAACAGGATGGTTCCATTGGTAGCAGGAAGTCAGAAGCATTCATACCATAGTGCTGCTCAGGGGAACTGGGACAGGTCTTGCCAGGCGACCTGCAGAGCTGCTTCTGCCAGCGGCATCTCCCGGGGTTAAGTCATCAGCCAGCACAGTCCCAGACGCAGGGCTGTTTATTCAAAGAGAAACAAAGCATCTTCATTTTCAGACACAGGTTTGTTACTTGCATGGTCACCAATAAAATGGGTTGGCAGGGGACTCTGGCCTTCAGTTTCAGCTCTCAGACACACTCGTACATGGGTGGATTTAGCACCAGGTTTCCCTCTCTCCATGTGGCTACACTGTGCTCCTGCCTGCTTGGGACCAGCAGTGGGAAGATGCTCTAGGTGCAGCTAGGGAAGAAAAAAGCAATCCGGGGCTGAGACAGCCATGAACTTGTCTGAGCCCTGCCCCCTCTCCCCCCCCACCAAAAAAAGGCCCATTCGGCTTCTGAACAAACATGAAAGCATCTTGGGTAAATTCAGTTGGTTTTCCCATCTTCCCAGGGTGTTTGAGCACTATGGAAAAACAGAGCACAGAGGGAGCTGAGTTTTCTTGTGAAGAGCAGATGGTCCTCTGGGACCCAGAGGCAGAAATTACAAAGAGCATGAAGGAGAGATAGGGACAGGCAAAACTTCTTAGAGAGACACTACTGACAGAGGACCTTGCTCTGCCTTCTGTGCAATTAACTACTTATTGACCAGAGCACTGCTAATTCCTTCAGATCAAGCCTTTGTTACAGCCCAGGGCTACATGAGAGCAGCCCCAAGAGTAGGGGGAATACCTGGGTGCTTTCAGGAAACCTCAGCAGCTGAGGTGAATCCTAGCTGGTTATTAGGAACTTCAGCTGACAATGAAGCTGTGCTGCTCTTCAGAAAATACACTTTTCAACTACCCAGCTTCTTCACCAGCATAAAATCGCAAGAGATAACTTTGTAGGAGAAGCCATCTGCTTCGTCACTTCCTCCGTTTTTAACGACAACGACCCTGGGTGGCTGGAAAAGTCCCTGCCTGGCTCGCCTTCCTGTTCCTCGGGGCCATGAAGTCAGAGTCCCCTGCGTGACATCACACCACATCGGGCAAGGCAGCTCTGCAAACGCTCAGCCAGGACTGGAGTGCCAGCAGAGCCCTGGCACAAGAAGTAGTAAACAGTGAGCAAAGGTGAGGGGTGGGATGGAAAGAAAAAACCAGCAACAAAAAAGGAAAGTGAGGCTCGTTCCTGCTTTTCCTTCAGCAGACTCGAGAGTCTCTCTTTAAATGTGACTCATCCAGGGCAATACTAGGCAGAGTTTCTTCTATTAACACACCCTTGGCAATAGCAGTTCAGTTAGTCACTGACCGGGTATCAAGACGTCAGCGGCCGGGATGATGCGTCTCTAACTTGGTACGAGTCCGCTAGCACTTATTTACTTTGGAGAAGAGCAAGAGAACAGAGAGGGGAACACGCCATCTCTCCTGAACAACTTCACCACCAACTATCCGCACCCACATGCCGACACGGCCCGTTCCCTGCATCTCCGCTCCCGCCGGCCACACCGAGCGCCGCTGCAGGAGTGTTCCGTCTTTTCGCGCTCCCCGATCCCGGGGCGCTCCCGGCAGCGCAGGGGTCCGCAGAGCCGAGGATGGGGAACCGCTGGAGGCAGGACAGCGGCGACGGCCGGGGGAGCCGACTGCTCGTCACACCGGAGCCCCTCACCTGGCTGGCCGAGAGGGCAGGAGGGCGTCGAGGCTTCGAGGCGCGGGTCCGGGGAGGCGAGGCGGCCGCACCGTGATGTCCGAGGAGCAGGTTAGCCGCTGTCACACGCACAGTGGAGTCGCCGAGAGCACAATGTGCGTTAGTCAGTGGCTCACCTGCTCCTGG